GGACTAATAATTATGATAGAATGTAGATAACAAGTTTACCCCCATTTAGAAGCATAAGGTGTAGTTCTTGTTGTATAAATTCATAAATTAAGGATTGAAATCAACAACCCAGCAGACTAGTATAACCAAGCAGCAGCAAACAGATAAAATACAAAGAAGAATAACTTCAACATTTGAAAATAATACCTGCATATGAGATCTTGCCCGCTCGTTTGCCTCCAATGCTTTTTGCTGGTTTTTAATTTGTTCTTCTCGAGTCTTCTCAAAAGTATCATAATTCCCTTTATAAGTAGTCAGCTTTTGGTTTTGTAAGTGAACTATATCAGTAACCACCTGGGAATACAGTTAACAAGTTAAAAAATATGCTGGTAACACACTTAGAGAAAGCACTTAACCAACAAAACATATAATCAAATCAAGATAAACTGATATGTTACCGTGTTTAAAAATTCTCTAGCATGTGAAACAACAATAAATGTTTTTGGCCATTTAACCAAGTATGACTCGAGCCATAAGACAGCATGAAGATCTAGATGATTCTGCAATAAAAACAAAATTCATAAATTCTATAAACCAAGGCATCTATGACTATGAATCATGGAAGATACGTGGAATAATGAGTCACCGTAGGCTCATCAAGAAGCAATATATCAGGCTCTATAAACAGTGCACGAGCAAGAGCTATCCGCATCCGCCATCCTCCTGAAAATGTTTTTGTAGCCTTCTTCTGCATCTCAGGAGTGAAACTCAAACCCTGAAAATGCCCTAGATCAGTAAGACAATGATTTTGGAAAGTGTGTTTCTATTTCATAAATATTTACTATAAAATTTGATGGAAGTAAAAGTAACCAATCATAGGGGAGTAGTTGATGTTAAAGTAAGAGAGAGAAATTCCTCTACCAGCATGTTTCAGACCTTCATCTTTAACCATATTGATTTTGTATTTCATACCATTAAATACTCTCCTTTTAGAAAACTGATTACCCAATAAATAAGGCAAACTGAAAGACACATTAGCATAAGAATAAGCTACTAGGCTACAATTCAAAATTCAACAACATCCAAGCGGCTAATAAGAGAATAAGATCTTCCAACAAGTGACTCTTAATAAATTCCGATACAAATCAACAATGAACTCACCGCTAGTATAGATGCTGCCCGTGCCTCTGCAGAATCAGCATCGATGTGTTCAAGCCTCTTATATATTTCTTCAAGCCTTTGAGAAAGGCTATCCCTGCCAATCACTCCATTTGAATCACCCTTTTCGACTTTGTCCTCAAATTCCCTCTGCCAAACAAACACAACATCCTCAGTTGTCCCAGTTTCAAGAGAAAATACAAACTGCAACAAAACACACTCAATTCTCCACCTGTTTGGCAACTAACAGAGCTTCTTCTTCAATAAGCTGAGCCCTCTCAATGTCAGAGTTGAGGACACATTGCAAAGCTGTCGTATCATCACCTGTCACCTCTTGCTCCACATGCAATATTTGACAATTCCTTGGAACACCATCAATGGCATGCATAGCCATGTGTCTAAGAAAAGTTGTTTTCCCCGTCCCGTTCCTTCCTACCAAACCATAATGCCTTCCAAACGAAAGCGTGACACAACCATCCACAATTAGATCCCGCCCACCAACAGAGATATTGAAATTCTCCATGTGAATGTCCTTCACGTTTGGTCCCCCACTGTTCTCATGCCTGACACACACCACTGGCATCCCTGCTCGTGCCGCCTCCATCTCCGCCAAGTGCATTTGGTATTGTGCCTGCTCATATCCTTCTATAGTCAAATGAACTGAACCATAACCTCTAATAGTAATAATAATAAAGTAATTTTACACTCATCCAATTACAACAACTCACCATGTATGACACCATATATAACATGTTTGTTGGCTTTTAAAATAATTATCTTAAAAGTCGGACATATAGCATATAATTGATATGTTCTGAACAGTTGACATTTTAAAATTGCTTAATCTTTTTTTTTTCTGGTAACCATGTTATTGGTACAGAGTATCCACCAGCTTTGCCGATGACTATCAATCAGAAAACTCGATTGACCACTTTAGTGAGGTCTCCCTTCCAACCTTGTTTTTCCAGCTACAAGACTCTATCCCGAGACATTGCTTAAGGGATCGAGCGCAGTACCAGTCGGACCATCGACATGTTAATGTCAAAAATTCTTAATCTAACAGTGCATAGAAATTAACTCTAATAATAATAATAACAACAAGGTTTGATTTGAACAAAATTATGGTTTTTGGAGTCTCCACAGCCGCAATTCTGGTTGCATTGGCAGCATTTGTCCACAATTTCTCATGACATCGAAGATCATGATGAAACCCTGGCTGTAATTTAAATACTTGATGATGATAATAATAATAATAATAACAATAAGCAGAGCAATTGGAGAAACACCTCTCGCTGGCGTTCCTCCTTGCGCTTCCTTCTCTCGAGCTTTAGACGGTCGCGTTCCGATAGCAGAGGGCCGTCGATGGGCTCGGGCTTCTTCTTGGGAGCTTGGACGTCGTCCAACCCTTCGTTCATTCGAAACGGCGCCGCCAGGCTCCGCACAGCGGGCTTCGCCTTCACCAAACCGTGCTTCCCGAACTTGTCGCACAGGGTGCTGCATACCTGCATTCAGATTGAAACAAAACAAAGAAAGAGAAAGAGAATGGTTAGGTTAGTGTTAACGAGTTTTGGTTTGTGGAAAGGGAAAGGGACTGGGACTGACGGAGCGGCACTCGGAGAAATCGTCGACGCAGCCGGCGGCGACAAGAAGCTCGCCGAGGGCTTCGAAGGCGCCTTCGCCGTCGAGGCCGAAGTCGAAGTCATCGTCGGCGAGAACGTTGACGATGTAATCGACAATTGGCTGGTCGACGTCGACGACTCTTTCTCCCAAAACGTCGTTCACCACTGATCTCGCCACCTCCGTCATCTTCCGCCACCACTCAGCTTCTGCTTTGTTCTGCACTGCGTGGTGGTGCTGCTTTTGCCTTTTAGGGGTGAAAGTGGAAGGGAAATAAGGTTTTTGGAATTATTACACTCCATGCCTCCTACTCTTGAAAATTATGTTTATGCCTCTCTCATCGTAGGCTTCCATGCATATTTTCATCCCTTTAGTGTACATCACTTTCTCATTTTAGTCCTTTAAATTAAATTTCTTTTTTTAGATTTTAAATTTTTTTATTTATTTCTACGTACTAACTACATGCTTAATAACAGCTACGTGAACAATGTGCAACTAAAACAATAGCGTAAAACTTTTCATTAATTTTTTTTTTCTAAAAATGTATTATCTTTCAAATATAAATCAGTTTTTGTTTTCATTTTTATTTTAGTTTTTCAAATTTAAAAATATTTTTCTCTCAAATTTAAATTTAATATTAGTCTCTTAAATATAGAATAAACTTTTTTAGTACCTTAATTTAGAATTACTTTTTAATCCTCGAATTAAAAAATAATTAATATATTAAATTTAAAACTAAAAGTGAAACTTATGCTCTTATTCAACTCCGTTATACAAAAATTAAGGGATGAAAAAACAAATCGAACCATGATATTTATATCCACATTTAATTTGTATGAATGATATGAAGTGGAGAGGAAATGAAAACTCTTATTTAAGGAGATGTTAAATGTTTTTAGTTAGTTTCTAATTGTCTATAGGAAGATTAATAGGTATTATTACTAATAGGAAATGAAAGTTCATTGTGGAAATGCTGTAAATGAAGAATAGATATGCCTAACTTGTAAAAGATACTTTCAACTCTCTAAGTCAATGTTAAGGTAAGTAAATGATATAATATTTAAGTAGAATGTTGAGACTAATAATATGATTAAAATTGTCAATACATAAAAGAATAAAAAAATATAAAAGATAAGATAATGGATTAAAAAAATAAAGGAAATAAATACACATATATTTTAATGAGATGGTGTACAACAACACTTTCAACTGAAAGTGCAAAACCATGGCACCAAATGAATAAGTCCTCACCTTCCATGTGCCTACTAGAAGCTAAGCTAGTACAATCAAGTTTAACTGAAAGATTTTCTATTTCTTGAATCGAAGCTTTGGATGGATGAAGTCATGTGAAGTAATTGAACTGGTGTGGACAATTTAGTAGTACTAACCTAGAAGAAGCACTTACACTATTTTGGTGAAAAAGTTAGCACTAGTAATGACGCAGAAAGAATGCAATCAGATCTTTGGACCCATGCGGATACATTGAAGACAACTGGGTGTAAGATCCTTGGCGTGAGCCTAAACCTTAGTGGAGGGTCATGCCCTTGTCCCATCATTCTAATAAATAAAGATAGAACATGTACCTCGTCCACTATCAATATCATTATAATCAAATATAAGAAAAAGGATTAATTATGTTGGTCCTATCATAAGTATTTATTAATTTTCTAGATTAAAAACTAATATCACTGAACATTATCACAGTTATTACTCCAACCAGTTTTCACACATACGATATAACTCTGTAACTGAACATTTAAACCCATCATACAAAATGATTTAGTCAAAGACCAATAGTACTATTTATTTGTAATAGTGTCTTTGTGGTTAGTTCACAAAGTTTCCACACAGACTGCACACGATATTTTGTGTTAAAGATAATTCATGACCCCTTCAATTTATCACCAATGTAAACAACAACCAAGCTAATCATTTCAACACATAATATATACCTTTCAGCCTCTTTTCACCAGTTCCAAGGACATTTTTTTCCTTGTCAAATAAAGAAACTCACCAAAGGAAGGAAATTCTCTCGGAATAGCAAATCAGCACCACCCCACCAATATTACTTGGTAAGTAGTGCAGTCTACAGTATGGTGATCAACTGAAATATATATATTCTTGCTCAGCACAACAACTGTAGAGGTTTTCATTTTGCACATTTGTAGTTAACTGAAACTGGATCATATTTTTTGCAGTGGCAAGAGGTTTATGAATGTTAGGGATACAGGTAGCAGCAGAGAATCATGAGTCTTCCACAAACTGCTCCTGCTGCAACTAGTCCTCCCCCACATCTGTATCCACAGGAGCTACAGCTTAAGCTTTACCAAGCCTTTATATTCTCAATTCCTATACTCTTCTCCATCATTCTGTTTCTCTTGTTTTACTTGTTTTACCTCAAGAGAAGGGCTTCCTCTCTCTCTTCATCCTCTCCTCACTTGCTTCCAAGGACCATTGCCAATCCACCAACCACCACTCCCTATCATTCATCAGTAAGTAACAAACACTCTCTAGATAATACCATCAATATATATATGGAAACTAAATAATACTTTTAATTAGATGAGTTTGCTTGCTTCTTGCACTGCATAATCTTTTATATATGATATTGATCAATTAAATTATCTAATATTGCACTCTATTGCCAAATCCATAGCCTTGTCGTTTGGATCTGACCCTCCAATTCCTAGATAAGCTTCCAAGGATTTTATGTGATGAGGATTTGCTAGCAAGAGATTCACTGTAAGTTTTGTTTTGTTTTTGCTTGAATTTTCCGATGTACTGTTGTTGGTATTGGTTTCTTTTTCAATTTTGTTTTTATCCTCTCTTGGCCATGTGATTAATATGCTTTGATCTTTATCCATTATGCAAGGGAATGTATGTTGTTGTCTCATATTGAAATTCCACCTCTCAGCTTGTCTATCATTAAGCGATGGTTAAAAATATTCTCAAAAGAATTTGGTTCTTCCAAAGCTGAAAAAATGTCCAATTTATCTGATTATTTAGAATATTTAATGGCATCCACTAATTTTCATGAAAAAGTGGGACATAGGAAGAAAGTAAAAGAGAGAGATAAGTAGAATATTTGAAAAACAGATTTTCTTTCTTCCTTTTTTTTCCGTCACACAGAAAAACAACTCGGCATATATATGAATGAGGTGTGTATTCTAATGTTTCCACACCTAGCTACAATTACTACAGTGATTTTTTATTTGGAGGTTGAAGTCTCGAATTTAGTGAAAAAAATGGAAACTATTTAAAATAATTTCGACTTCAACGTGGATTATGGATCTGCTTTCAAGTTAATCTGAAACAAAACAAACAAAATTCAGCACGTGCAACCCAAGTAGATGGTAGCAACCAAAATCTGAAGGATAGGTACTGCTCATATTTTCTGTCAGGGAATTTTCAGTAGAGAAAGTACTGACAGCACTTTGGAAACAGTCTAGGATTTCATGTGCTGGACCCCTCCTTTTCTATGCCTCAACATCTTATTTCATCATTTAATACAATAATTGCTGTGAATGATGATTTCCAATTACACCAACTTTTAACAACAAAATTGTTCATTGGCCTAATTAACTGAACATAGGTGTGACATGGTTTTTATGCAAGAGATGCTACGAGGGTTATTTTGAAACAGGTGTTGTGTTTGTCTGGGGGAGTTTGAGGTGAAGGAAGAGGTGGTGCAGATTCCTTATTGCAAGCACGTGTTCCACTTGGATTGCATACATCACTGGCTGCAATCAAACTCCACTTGTCCACTTTGTAGATGTTCCATCATCCCCACTACCAAGTTCATCAACCCAGAACCGCCTATTAATATTATATCAGACCCACACCAGCATGGTGCTATCGTTTCAGACTCTCCATTGCACACTCCATCATTGCTACCTCACCCACGAGATCATCATCAACTTGGTGCTTCCTCAAATGCTGCTAATCAGTTTGCTAGCTAGGTTGATTATGATATAACAATAATGCCCAATACTTAATTTGAAGAGGGGTTTTGTTCAAAATTATGTAGTTGTCTGCATTTAAACCAGCATTTTATGATATAAAATTTTGCTTTTGTCCTGTATTTCTACATTGGCTGGACTTGGAATATTGAGTCAATTTGTGGATGTAAAACCCAGCTATTCTCTGTCACCACTTTCCTGAAAATTGCCTACTGAATTCCAATTGGGGCAATTGAGAAGGTGTGACCAATTATTGAGAGTAGCAATAAAAGGCTTCAAATGAAACCTACAATATATATATTATTTTTTTACTAATGTTAAAATATATATATATATATATATATATATATATATATATATATATATATATATATATATATATATATATGTGTGACTGAAGAAAGATAGCAGATATTTACTATCTTGATACTTTACTGACTCTTAGGTTACCATAATGAATATAAATATGATTTTTGAGGTGTAAAGTTGTTGAGCTCATCCTTATAGAATGAAACTGATTCATGTTAGTCATGGAAAAGAATGAGTGAGTCAAAGATTTAGCATGGCCAAATCAATTTTTGGATAAATTATGCAGAGTGAGTCCGAACAGGGTCCCGCGAAGGTTAAAAAGCTTTTACTTTTGGACATTGAAAAAGAAAAGGTTAAAAAAGGGGTCCCAACAATAGAGTATTAATAAACATACACGCTCATGTACCCATACTTCACCTTTTCTAACCCATTATTAGATAACACTTGATGTTACTATACTTTTGCATAAATGATTGAGACCTTATATTTATATTTTAACTCTCACTCTATATCCCCACATCCCTTCTTTTATGATAAAAAGATAAACTTTAGGAATATAAAAGAAGTGGTACTGTAGGAATACCAATAGAAAAAGGTTAACTCTTTATCTCTTCTATAGGTCAACGTGACTACTTAACTTACAAAGAACCTGAAATCAGACTAGCTTAAATGAAAATTGTCCGAGATAAAATCGGTTATAGCAAAAACATGTTCAGAATAAGATTATGAGATAATTGAATCTGGCAGAGCCGATTAGACATCTCATCATAAGCTTATGCATGAATGAAAAATAAAGACAGGAAAGTAAAGAGAGAAAGATAAACACACAAATCCATGATAAGATTATGAGATGACTGAATCTGGCAGAGCCAGTTAGACATCCCCTTATAAGCTTATATGAACATAAAATGAAGATATACAAAAAAAATTTAAGTCTTTAAATGATTATCGCATCTTTTAATAAATACCGCTTAAGGTATCCGAGGACGCCCTTATAAGAAAACTACTCCATAAAAGGGAGACTAAAGAAAACTTACTCGAGAGAGGGGAAGGAGAAGGAGAGGGGAGATGTTGAATATGCTTCTCTTATTGATTGTATGTAAGATTTATATAAGAAAGGGGGAAGGAGAAGTAGAGAGAAGGAGGAGAAGTGAGGGAGGAGTGAGAGAGGAGAGGGATGGAAGGACTCCTTGCCAAGCATAATGGGCTTATAGATCATTTAATTTTCTAGACACTTCTTCCAGAAGTATTATTATCGTGTTGTTTTGTTCAATCAGGACTGTGTGTGTTATCTACTTAGTAGGCTTTTTATATCCCATTAGAGGGGATTTTGTGATTTGTTCAAAAACTATCAGAGTTGTTTTATAGTCTTTGCCTAAAAAAGGATGTGTAGTACCTTCCATTAAAATTTTTTAAAATAAAAAAATTGTAAAAAATAAAAAGGCAATAAATCAGAGAATAAAGCAGCAGATCAGTGGAAGAGAATAAGGAGATCCACAGAATACATCTGTAAAGCAATATTTATAAAAGAATATAGATAATCATAAGGCTTAAAAGAAAATATTTTTGTTGTTTTTATTAATTTTTGTTGTTTTTATATATATTTTTTAAGTGATAAAAGAAAAAAAAAACAGATAAACAAAAGAAGATAAATAAAAATGATATACAAGAAAATATTTTTGCAAAGACTGCCGCAATATGCAAAGTATTCCTCAACCCACAAAGGTAGCTTCACGGGACTTAGGATCTCGTGACACTCCTTGGCTTTAACCTGCCCTACTACTAGCTAAGTATCCTAGCGAATACAAACCAGTTCAATTGCAAAAATATTCAGGTAACCGAGGATTTCTCGCTCTGATACCAAGAAGGGGAGATAGGGGAAGAAAAACTCAGTATGGGGAAAACTGCTCTTAAACCTCTTTGATAAAAGGGGGGAAATATGGACATGACGGAAAAAGAAATAAACCAAAACATGTTATAACTTTTTATCTCTTCTATAGGTCAACGTGACTACTATGCTTACAAAGAACCTAAAACCAAGTTAGCTTATATGAATATTGTCCGAGATAAAGTCGGTTATAGCAAGAAAATGTTCAGAATAAGATTATGAGATGACTGAATCTGGCAGAGCCGGTTAGACATCTCCTCATAAGCTTATGCATGAACGAAAAATAAAGACAGGAATGTAAAGACAAAAAGATAAACACACAAGTCCATGATAAGATTATGAGATGACTGAATCTAGCAGAGCCGGTTAGACATCTCCTCATAAGCTTATATGAACATAAAATAAAGCTATACAAAAAAAATTTTAAGCCTTTAAATGATTATTGCATCTTTTAATAAATACCGCTTAAGGCATCTGATGACGCCCTTATAAGAAAACTACTTCATAAAAGGGAGAGTAAAAAAAACTTACTCGGGAGAGGGAAGGAGAAGGAGAGGGGAGATGCTGAATATGCTTCTCTTATTGATTGTATGTAAGACTTACATAAGAGAGGAGGAAGGAGAAGTAGAGAGAAGGAGGAGAAGTGAGGGAGGAGTGAGAGAGGAGAGGGATGGAAGGACTCCTTGCCAAGCATAATGGGCTTATAGGTCCTTATATAGAAAAATAAAATTATAAAATATTGAATAGTAAAATTTACATGTGAGACCCATTTTATGACTTATGGGTCTTGAAAAAAAAACTTTAAAAGAGAAGTTATCTAAAAGGGACAGGAGTTTACGGAAGATATTCTTCCGTCACTAAAAGACAAAAATTTGAATAGTAATTTTTTTTTTATTTATCAAAAGATTGGTTCAGTTTTTCCATCATTAACACGCAAGGCTTAAAGGGTCTAACAACGTGTAACGGTAGAGGAACCATGACAAGGTAGCAAGATATCATTATCTATCGTTAACCTTTGTCATCTTTTGATATTGTTGTATGACGTAAGGGCTTACGTCATTAGAAGCTCCTCGAAATCATCAATAGCAAAATTATTTTGACTAATGATGTAAAGGATTACGTCATTAGGAGATCCTCGAAATCTTCAAGGGTGAATTCGTCTTTATTTGAAAGACTCATTGGTTGTGGTGAGGCGGGGTTTGTACAGTTCCGCCGTATATAAGAAGTTTTGTCAAGTCTTACCCAAAGACTGATAATGGTGGTTTCAGCTAATAGCTCCTTTATAAAATTTTCTCCTTCGAATTCAAATATTTTGGAGTTCATCACTAAAGAAAATGTCAGTGAATAACTCAGAATCCAGAAACAAGTGATGTTTAGCTGGATAGTATTCCCCTTTTATGTTATAGGGGTGTGTAGAGAATATTTCAATGAAATATTCTTCACTGTATATGTTTCGAAAGAACACATTTATCTAGTAATTTATCTTAGTACCTAAAAATGGTTCTATCATTGAGTTACTGAAAATAATCATCATTTTCATGAATCCTAAAAAGAATAAATCTTCAGTTAATCTTCTGTTAATCCAAGCAGGATCACATTCTACCATCTAAGGATTTATTCCAATGTTGTACTGATCGGAAGATGAGGGAGCCAAATTATCCTGGTATTGGACTATCCTCAAGTGTTGTCGGAGTGCAGAATCTACTGGTAATTGGAATATCCAGTTCTGGAGTGTTCCAAGTTCTACTAACAAGGCATCTGAAGCATGTTGGTAGATTTTTTCTTAGATTGGGCTAGGTAGCTGGTCCAAGAAATTTCTTTTGAATGACCCAACATAGGCCATATATTTTGTGAAGTTTCCATAATCCATGGTTTCGAAATCATAGTCCATCTTTTCATGAAGTTCTAAGATTTTGGTTTTTTATTTTTTATTTTCTATTTCCAAACAGGAAATATGTTTTCGAAAATCATTTTTCTGTAAAGAAAAAGATGTTTTCAATTTTTGTTCCATTTTCTTGGCAAAAGCCAATTGTTGTCTGAGTTTAATGGAATCATAAATTAAAAAATTCTCTTATTTTGTTGGTTTTTCAAAAATGAAATTACCATCTTCAGGATGGTCTAGCATGTTGTTATCACCTCCAATATAGCTAACCATTGCTTATACAGCTTCTTCAAGGTTACCAAATCCTTGAAATTTATTGTGTTTGTCATTACCTTTCACCTTCAAAAGAGAGGGATATGATAGGTAGACGCCACATTTATCACCAGTAAAAAGGCAGTAGGCCTCATTCTTGGGTTTTTTAACAAAAACGGGCAACATTTTGGCAAAGTAGTAATTTAATGCATTGATAGCATTAATCTTTGTTGTTGGACTACAAGCTCGATGAAGAGCATTAAGTAGTACCTTTTGTTCCCTTGAAACGGGACAGTTTCTCAAACATTTGAATTGTTGAGGATGACCTTCTGGTAAAACCGAAAGATGTTGTATTCCAAACTTTAGAGTATCAAACTCTTAAGTTGTTGAGGTTGGTAAATTGCCTTTGTTGATTGGGTTTGTCATATTTGTACCTGTATAACTGAAGGAATTCTACAATACCCTTTTGTTAGTTTTCTTATCATAAGAAGAAACTATTGTATTCATTAGACAATATCCAAAATCATCAAATATATTTCCTAGTTCATTGAATTTATTATCCAATTGAAAATCATTTTCTTGTGGATAGAGGTGTATGAATTCATTGTCTGTGAAATCATTTATCAGGCCATAATCTTTATGGCTTTTTTCTGGATTGATTTCATCAGT